ATCCGATAATAATTGTATAATGTGTGGTAAAAGATTTCATTCCAGAGCACGTCTGAAACGGTAATTAGTATACATTTTTAACAATGCTTTATGTATATTATATGTAAGAATATTAAATTTTATTAGTAGTAAAATTAATTTAATTTAATTAAATTTTTTAGTCATATGATAACTCATCGAGAGAAAGGAGTTATTTGTGATATTTGTGGTGAAGAAGTAGCTGATAAACGAGCACTTATTAATCATAAAGCCAGTCATGCAAATACTGTTAGTATTTCACGAAATTCACTGACTGAAAAAATATTTCCTTGTTCTAGTTGTGGCAAAGTGAGTACTTAATTTTCTTGACTTATTAATTTTTATTTATTATTCTTTAGTTGGATCATAAGTTGCTTAGTATATAGTACAGATGTAATATTATCTATGTATTGGAAAATTAGAAAGTGTAATACCTGTGTTAATACTTAACTAAATATTGCTTATGGTAGTTTGAGTATATTTTAATGAATTTCTGTTATTTTATACGCATTAGTATATTAATATTAAAAAAAAAAATCTAATGAAATTCTTAATTTTAAGCCAAGTTTTCATGATATTTGCTATCATTTTAACTGTTTTTATTAGAGTTTAATCTAATAAACGAGTGAATAGTAACTATTAAACTATTGTTAGTGATCATATATGCATGCTAATTTGATAATAGTTATTATGAAAGTCATAGTGTGGACCTAAACTTATATGTATATTTTAAAATAATAATTTTTTTTAGTTTTGGAATTCCTCTTGCTCTATTTAAATTTTTACAGTAGGTTATTGTAATAAGTCAACATTATTCCAAGTTAATTTATTAGATAATATTTATACAAAGGTATATTGAGAATATTTTGATATTTTACTCATTTTCTATGTAAATTATATATAATAAAAAAAGGGTATATGATTTTGGCGTTAGTTAGTATAATAACTAGATTTTATTATTTTTATTTAGGTATTTGGATCTCGATCATCTCAACAAATACACATACGAATACATACCGGAGAACGACCTTATGGTTGTAAATATTGTAGCAAAGCTTTTGCTGATGGTGGTACTCTTCGAAAACATGAGCGTATACATACTGGTGAAAAGCCATATGCTTGTCCTGTCTGTCCAAAGGCATTCAATCAGAGAGTAAAATTATTCAATTATTATAATATTTTTAACTAATTATCGATACTATTTTTAACATAATGTAATTTTAGGTTGTATTACGTGAACATATAAGAGCACATCACGCTGGAACTGAGGCGAAGGGTAGTCAAGTGAATTTTTATGAATGTAAAGTGTGTGGATATTTGTTCCGATCTTCAATGGAGCTTTGTTCACATTTAGTTCAGCATAGCGATGAAAATACTAAAAGATCTAGAATAGTACCTGTAAATTTTTTTTTTAATTTATATTATTAGTAAAACCTATAATTTGATTGAATAAGCATATAATTATTTATCTTAGGTTGGACCTCGCAAGTATAAGCGTCGCAGCAAGTTGGGTAATCGAAAAGACACATGGTGTTTAGTAGAAAAAGTATTCACAGTTATGTCAGGGCAGTCAGATACGGAAAGCTGTGAAGATGAACCCATACCTACAGTAGAAGAGCAAGCTGTTCAATCAATTATAGAAAAGGAAGATATATCTTACAATCCTCCAACTATACCTAGTCCTCCTAGTAAGTCTCCAGTTAAGACATACAAAATTGTTAATGGAAGGTTAGTGAAGAGTGAACAAAAGTCTTCTAAACAAGGTCCATGTGAATCAAAACAAACTGTTACCAAGTCAGAATTAGTACCAAAAAAACATAGCTTTGTGCTTAAAGATGGAGAGTGCACTAGAACATGTTCAACTGTACTTTATTATTCTTCAAGATCTGATCCTACAGTTATGGAATCATCATTAGGAGAAGAATCCAAAGAAAATGATAATCCAGAAGAACCTGAAGACCAAATTTCTGTAGAAGATACCGATTTTACTAACATGAAGATGGAGGCAGTTAGTGCTCAGTCAATATTTAATGTACAAGATTTAGACAACATATGCAACATTGATTTTCCTGATGAAGGTGGAGTACAATATTTTGTAGAGAATAATGATGGTCGATATGGCAATCATTGTGATTTAATTCTGGAATCTTCAAATGATGATTGCATGATTGAAACAGAACTAGTGTTTGATACAGATTATGTTGAGGAGGTTGGTGCTAACATTGAATTGAGTACTGAAGAAATGGCTCCTGTGTTTGCAGAAATTATTTCTTGTGATATTTGCGATGAAGTATTTGAGGATAGAAAAGAACTCATGAGACACATTCAAACCATGCATATTGGATAAATGATGAACTTTTTTTTTTGTATACTACTTCTTAGTTGTAAATTTTTTTCTGTTTGTGTAAATTAACCTGTGTGTCAATATTTTATTTTTTTTTTATGTAAGCTTGTATTTAGTTTTAAATTGCTATAAATATTATACAATGCTGCCATTTTGCATCTAATTAGATAGATAATGTGGCCAAGATGATGTTACCATATTAATATTATTTGTAAACGTTGTGCGTTAATTCCTTGAAATATTCTTAATAAATTAAATAATTTCATAATATTGAAATTATGTACAATCAAAAAAAAAAAAAAAAAATGATTTTGAACAATTTGTTGTTATATTTGTGATAAATTAAAATTTGTATTTATTGAACTATTTGTTTTTATAAAACTTATAAAACAATAATATTTAATTTATTATTATTTGTATATCGATGCATTATTTTCGTAATTAAATATACTAAATGGTTTAAATAAATTCACCAATTTAAAGAGGCTGAATATTGAATTTTAATTTGTCAAATATATTCAAATCTATTTGACTTTACATTTATTTAACAATATTTGTAATATTGTTACATACAATCATTATTCTAAATGTATAAAACACAGATATAATATAACTTAGGTTATGCTAATAATAATTGTTTATGCTAAAAAGTGATGCTAATCGAGTACAGTAAAGTATTACAAAGAAATAAAGCCTATAGTTTTTTTCCACTTAATCATCTAAAGCTGTATTATATTTTGTAATAAATACATTTATTTTAAACTTTATTATGTACACATTAAATTCTTCTGATATGTTGAAAATTGTTAATTGTTAAAAGAACAAGTGTGTACATAGGAATTATAATTGTAAATACAAAATTATTATAATATATATTATAAACATGTAAATTGACACATTTAATTCTTAGTATTATGTAATATTATTAAATTATATTAAGTGCATATTATGTAACTTTATTTATACATGTTTTTTATTTTTATTTCACATAACTTTTAAAGATAATTTCTTAAAATTAAATGGATTAAGTTATGTAGCTATAGTAAATTGACATCATGTGTATATTTTAATTTCGTAGTAATAATCGTTATTATATTTTAATATTTATTTAGTTTATTTTTATAAACCAAACAACAATACCTTTCATGTTTTCTTTTTAATTATTTTTAATGAGTTATACAAGTCATAAATTAATAATACCATATCCTGCTTATGGCTTTACCAATTATGAACAACTCAACAAATGTAATATGGTATATACTAATATATTATATATAATGCAACTTATTTTGATTCAAAATCATTTCACAATTTAAAAAAATTGTTAATATTTTTAGAACATGAGTACATACTTAATAATTATGTATTCATTTTGAAAAGTAAGTTTTATTTTTGTATTTTAAATCAAAATAACGTAAGTATGACTTTCTTAACATTCTTATTTATTTATTTATTTTTAATTTTGCTTTTTTTTATACCTGTACATTTTAATGTATCTATTTAAAAGTAGTTTGTTTTTCATATTTTGTCGTTTACTTACTAGATAATTAAAGTACAAAAAAAAAAAAAAAACAAATGACTAGATAGTTCTATACACATATTATTTTTTAAATTAACTTATAAAATATATAACAAGAAAATGACTGTAAGTTCTTTCGGTTTCTTTGTACAGTTATTATTACACGTGGCGATCCATTAATACATTTTTGGCTTTTAGACGTCATAGGTAACAGTTAATTAAAAACGTAGATTCAGATGAGTTAGCATTTAAAATTTAAGAATTAAATTATTTCATACGGATTTAAAAATAGTCCAAGGTTGTTTTAATTTGTTACATCTTGATATTTTTAAACTAAATGCGTGATACGATTTTTAGTAAAACAATATTAAGATTGTGTGGGTGTTAGTAAATACTTTACTCGTGAGTGCAGTTCCATATAAAATAAACTAAATATAATAATTATTGAGATAGGTACTATTTTGATAGATCACGTTTTTTTAGAGAATTTATAACTAGAAATGCTGGTAGTTTTAGATTCCTCAATGGCTCAATGTATTCAAATCACATCGCCTTGATTTTAAAATAGTGAGTAAACATTGGTTTGTACCTACGTCGACATGAACTAACATTTATCGAAAATTCGCCCAATGAAAAGCCTTCGGGAATAATAATGACAATAACTACAACGTATATTTACATTAAATAGGTTAATCGTTATTTGGATAGATCATGCTAATGTTATGATTTATGAACTATCGTTTTAAATTGTCTGTCAATTTTATTTAACAAATTTTTAACGAGTGAAATAGGTAGCTACCTCTAATACATTTATACTTCAGTAAATTGCTATTTTCTAGATACTCCGAGCATTTATTGATATCTACAACATTGTTACCTACCGTAATGTTAATAAAAATGTCTACATTTTCCTTGGAAATAAAAAGCAAGTAATTCCCGATTTGCATTATCGCAGATAATTAATTTTATATATTGATTATCGAGGTAGGGTTTACTGTAATATCTTCCTATAGGCAGTTAGTATTTATCTGTCCTACCGGGTCTGAAGGTTTTTTTTTATATGGACGTCTAACGCTATTTTTTAGTAAAAATGCAGAATATCGCAATGTCTTTATTTAATAGTGAATTTATTATTATTATTCTAATTGTAGTACCTAAGTATAATTTTTATTTATTTCAATAAATTATAAGTATCAACTCTATAGTTATGTTTTAGAGATTGGATTTCGAAAAATAGTTAGACGTAGGTAGGTAAAAATTGTTTGATATTTGTACGCGGAAAATTAAGTCAATTAAATTTTTAAATTCATATCATAATTCAATAACTCAGTAGATATATTCACTAATCTGTTAAGCATAGAAAAAAAAATTAATGTACAACGTCCGTTATAAGTTATTGTGTTGGGGGCCAATTCATAAGCCAGACCATTTATTATAGCGTGTCTGTATAAACATAGGCACCATAAAAGATTGTGTAATAATAAAGGCAGCCATAGATAGGTAGGTAGGTAAGCGAAATAACGATAGAATACTCGATATTGAAAGTAATTGGTTATTTTTTTGTTTTTATTTCCGTTATTTTATTCGATTTTAGCAAACAATTTTTTCAATAGTTTTTCGTTTTCGATACACATGCACATTTCTACCTATTTATATAATAATATGTATTTAGAGATGGATTATACTATTAGGGCGTCGAACTGATACATGTATCGTGAAATCACTGTCTATTGGGCATTGGTTACGTCAAGTATGATGGGTATATACGTGCTCGATAACGTTCGAGAGAAATATAGTAGGCACTTGTAATATGGTTTGTATACAAGACACCTAAGATGCCCACAGCCGTGTAGGGTACCTATAAGTGCTTTTGTGGTCATCGCGTGTGCTGTATCGTAGTAAATTTGGCATCAGAATGATATTATAAAGAATTTCGAAATCGCAATCATCGAGAAACGGGCAAAAGGTAATACACAAATATTACGATGACGAGGAACAATAAAAAAGAAAGCACCGTTTCCACTAACATTTTTTAACACCGCAGCAATTATCTACAAGTATTATACAACTATTACAGTAGGTACATTAATATAAAGTAATGAAATAACAGTATCATAAGGGTACGTAACACGTGAGTTATGACTATTATTAGTTAAATATATTGTTATAATAATAATAATAATAATAATTATTATTACGCGTAAAGAATAAACATGATTTTTTACGTCGATTTCTAAGGGGCAGGCAGATATAATGTATATTATCATAATATTATTATGTTACAGCCGTTACAGGTACTTCTATATTATAATTGTGTCATCTAGCGCGTGTCTATTACTATTTAAATTTTTAATGATCATAATATTATCGCGTATGTATCGTACGAAAAGGAATAGGTCGTCACGTTTTAACATAAAAGGTATATATAGGTAGGTATTTTATATAATATTATAATGTTTAATATTATAGTAATAATAATAATAATAATGTAGTGCGTAGAAATTACGAGTAAAAAATAATAAATGTTACAGGCTGGCGGCCCTTTACAGCTGGGCGGGTTGCACGTTATTGTCGTTGCACGTGGAGCGGGACGTCATCGTCATGGTGAGCGCGGTGGACGTGTTCTCTTTGCTGACCAGTTCGGCGCGGCTGACCAGCGGCCCCGTCTCGCCGCAGCACCCGCCGTCGTCGTCCTTGCAGCAACCGCCCACGCCGCCGCCGCCGCCGCCACCGCCGCCACCGCCGCTGACCGCCTGGCACAGTATGGTGGTGGCCCTTCCGGTCCGGCCGCCGCCGCGCTCCGAACCGCCGCGGTTCCGGCGCGGGAACGTGCTGTTCTCCTGGTGCAGGCCCGCGTTCACGTCCTTGCCCGCGGCGCACGTGCACGCCTTGAGGAAGCTCTTCTTGAAGTTGTCGCTGAGGAACGCGTACAGGATCGGGTTCATGGCGCTGTTGCTGTAGCTCAGGCACCCGGCCAACAGGAATATCGTGATGACGATCTTGGACTGGCACTGTTTGGGCGGCGTGAATATCAGCGCCACCTGCGTGATCCAGTACGGCAGCCAGCACAGCACGTACACCGTGATCACCGTCAACACCAGCTTGGTCACCTTCCGGTGCGACTTCTTCTTCTCCTTCGACTTGTTCACCGGTCCCACCTGCGACCGTCACACGTGATTATTAGACAAGACAGGTATATATGTATAATACTATGTAATAGGCACGTGACGTGATATTAGACGATTTATTATATAGTTGTTGCAGGATACGTCTCATTACACGGCAGTTATACATAATAATGTATAATAATCGTAAAAAAATGTATTACTCATAATAGTACGGGTTAGAGATACTGCGGGGGAGAATGGTATCCCACAGAATCTTATTATATTAAGATGATCCGTGAAGATGGGGGGGGGGAGGCTTTACATTGCCTAACGTGCATGTAACACTGTAGATGCGACTTTGACCGACTAACTTTACCAAGTCGTCTGAGGTATTCTAAAAGCCCTCCTCTACAGTTTGCGACTATGATGTGTATATTATAAAGTGACACTGACTCCAGTTCGGATATAAATGAATATTTAGAGTTGCGTATGAGTTGATTTCCAGGTACCTGTTTAGTTGCACTGATACCGTTGAGTTGATTCCTGGGTCATTATATATTTTTTCAATATTTATTGAAATATTCAGCCTATTAGTGTAACCCAAGAAATATCACGAGGAGGTTGGCTAACAAGTTTTTCAAAAATTTTATTTTTTTTATATTTTTATTGATTAATTATTTATTGTATTGTATTATATTTATTATTTATTAAAACAATTTAGTAATTTGGTAAAAATGTATGACACATTGTTTTTAAAAATTGGTATCTAGTAATGAGATTATTAGTATACCACGACATCACTTCTCTTATAAAAAATGTTTTTTTAAGTTTTTCCTAGATTTCCTAGTCCCATCTGAATTTTATATTGATATACTGATGTACAACAATAGGAAATCAACTTGTACATACCTCTTAATAATCCGAGAATCAACTCACTTACACCAATATTTAGTTAGGTAAGTAATGTAATTTTGATAATGACCTAAATATATTAGGTATGCTATAATGGGTGTCGGGTTATGTGTTCGAAAATGATATGTTCGAATGAAATGTGTCGAATAAAAATGTTCGAAAAAGCATATGTTCGAATTAATTTTGTTCGAATAAATTTGTGTTCGAAAACTTTATAATGATTATATTGATATAGATATAGAGATATATATAGTATATTAATAGCCGTATATTCCGACTATTAGACCGGTAACTAATGATAGACGTTAGACGATAGACGTATATTATAACATTAATATGATATCTAATATAGAGCAATAACTTAAATCTACTTGTTATCGTAATATTTTTGTGTAACATACGAACTGTAATTCACCACTACTGCAGTATATTTCCGATTTTCAGACCGTTATAACGAAATAGTGAACGAATATGTCGATGTGTATTATAAATTAATATCTACTATACATAAGAAAATATGTTATTAGTGAATGAATATGAATTCATGTTTAATAAGAATAATTTTCGTAAACGTGATGTGAAAATGTGTACTATTGATCTGTGTCAAAATGTGGTGCTACATTTCGAACAATTATTAAAACAATGAACATATTAAAGACGAATCTTAATATTAATGAATCATTCACACGCACCAATCAATTCAAATGAATGTAAATACTAAAATAAAATAAAACTGCTGCATTGCAATCTCAAGATAATCCACAAATTTCAAGAACAAATAATTGAGTTCTTACTGTTGTATCTTTACAAATTAGTAAAGCATCAAAACAACTTATTAAAGACAGAAAAGGTAAATTAACCGAACCTTCTTGTAAGTTAAAATTATAACCCTCCTCCTGAATTAAGAAAACAATTTCTGGTCAAGATTTTTAATCAAGGAATTATAGAGAAAATAGAATCATTATTTACAACAGTTCAAATTGTTCATATTTAAGAGATCAGAATTTTGACTTGCAGACGGAACATATAAGTCTTGTCTAATTTATTTAATGGTGTATACAATTCATGGATCTATTAATAGAAAAAGATCAGATATGTTACCTTTAGTGTTTGCCCTTATGACAAATCAAACGGAAAATTCATATAAAGTAATGTTTACAGCACTAAAATAATTTTGCTATTGAACAATATTAATTTAAGGATAATACAGATCTTGAAATTATAACTGATTTTGAAATTGCTGCTATCAATACCATCAATGATGTTTTCATTTTCAATGCATTCTGCGTGTTTTCATTTTCTTAAAATATTTATCGTCACATACAAAGGAAGGATTAACGACAAGTATATTGACGATCAAACTTCAACTTACTTTGTCGACATTTACCAGCATTGGCTTTCCTTCCAGTTTCTAAAGTACGTATGCTGAAACAAAAAATGAATAACCAAATAATACATTTTGCATACTAGCTTAATAAAAATAAATATGTTTAGTTATTATTGATTCAGGTCAACGAAGTTGAAACAGCTAAACATGAATTTCAAATGATGAAAGGAACAAAATTATTACTATTTTGAAACAACGTATTTTACTGGTAGATCAGTGAGACTCGTGCGACAATCACAGTAAAACCTCCGTTATATCCACCAGAATTATGTCAGTAGCTCAACGAGTTGAATGTAATTTGCCGCGCACTACTAATATCACTGAATCATGTAGTCGTTTAAATAGGTAATATATTGATGTAGCATAAAATTGGATATTTTATAATTTATAATGAAATATTGCTCAGGTTGATATCGAAACATCCAGGTGCATATAAATTTATAATACTTCACAAAATTCAGAACGAGAACAACTTAATTGAACAATTTATTCAAGGCAGAATTGCAAAAGATCCTGAAGTATCCCGAAACAACATGAAAAGAATTAAAATCTTGTTTTAGATTTAAAGATGTGATAAAATAGCATTGAGTTTTAAGAGGCTGCATATAATTTAAACTTTTAACTTGACGATATATTACACATTTATACAAATATTTTTACTTTTAAATAATTTTATAATACCTATTTTTACTTTTAATATTTATATAAATTTTTTAACAATGAATTATACTATTTTCGAACAAAACTTATTCGAACAAAAATTAATTCGAACATATATTTTATCGAACACTTTTCATTCGAACACATTTAATTCGAACATAACATTTTCGAACACATAACCCCTCGTCGCTATAATGCTAATGTGTAGTTAGCGCCTGCTGCAGTAGCATTACATTTTTGAGTTCTCGATTGAAATACTCAACGGTCTTATGTAGTTCCATATTTGAACATATATATTATACATAATATAATAAATATTACAGAAAACATTTTCGATTAATTGATTTTCTTTTATTGGCGTTATAAAAGGTTGTTGTACTCACATGTAATGTTTCTGTCTTTCTTTTAAAAAACGTATAACATAACAAATCTACTTATCGACTTTTTATTACAATTTATTAAATTTATAGTTTATATTTACGTATTAGAGAAAATTTACATATTATTGAATTCGTAAAAGAGAATAGTGATCGAGAGAAAAGTTTGATTTTCTTTTTTTTATTTCATAATAATGAGTAATACTTATAATTGATTAAACTTACTTGAATAATTTTCAAATTTAAAATTCATATAACTAGTTTTAAAATAAAAATTTGAAAAAACACGCTCTGTTCAAGCACAGTTTATATTCTCTTCAATAAATTCGATACTATATAAATTTTTTCTACTATTAACCATAAAATAAACTTGTAGTATTAGCATTGATTATAGAATCTATTCTATAATCAATGGTATTAGTGTGTAAGACAGAGATAAAATAATATGAGGGCATGACGTATTTTTTTCTTTAAATCTTAGACAAATTTGCGGAGTCTAGTTTGGAAATATTGTTTTACCAAGGTTAGGCGATAATTATTCGTTGATTGTAATAGATTGATTATATTATATTATAAACCTATAGATAGGTGATGGGACTGTGCATAATTTGTACGTATATCTTAAAAAAAATACTCTTTTTAATCAATCTGAGTTAATTTTCTTTATAACATTTTTAATGTGTTTTATCATTACGTACCTACTTATTACATAATACATATAGGAATTTTGACGCGGAAGTCTTCATGCAAATATATTACTTACAGAGTAAGCGAATCTTAACACGCGTGATGGTGAATTTTTCGCGTTTTAGATTTGTAAATATGTAATATATAATTTATTTTAGAAACGATCTGGTCCCTGTGCTTGTGGTTTTTGGCATAAGTTTTTAATAAAACGTGGACACGTGGCGTCGGGTGACGGTGACGGCTGCGGTATACCGCACCCTTAAAACCGCTCTCGACAGCAGCTTACTTTGCTCCGGTATTCGAGCATAATACTTGTATGTAACGCGTTGTATAGCTACGATTTTCCTACGCATCCATGGTGCGGTGGCAAAGCGAAAAGCGATTTCTAAAGGACAAGGACGTAAAGTTTGCTTTTATACCGTTCGGTTCAGTATACTTGTGTGTACATTATTATGTTACAGTGTGTGTACGTGCGTGTGTGTGTGAGTACATATTGAATTTGCACTTTTGTAAATAATATTACTGTGTAAAGAGTGAGTTACCCTAAAAACGAGCTTTTAAACTATATATACTCATTATACGCATCATTCTCGTCTAAATACAAACAGGATGCGTCTATATACATACTTTTGTTATATATAATGAAGATGATATGTCGTTTTTACTCTGCAGATTGATGTGACAGAGAATAGAACGAGTATTTAGCATAACCTAATTTATAATATCCAAAAAATACAAAACGAATAATAATGTTAATAATTTGATAACCGAAGGTTTTTTTTTTTTGTATTGAGAAAGAAAATTTACAATCTATACTTATACAATAATTTCAATAAGCAAATTTGATATTTACATAGAATAATGATAACCGATGGTTAGATTAATTCAAAACGAGTTTAGGAGGCTCTAAGTATTATTTTATAATTGTGTTGATGTGTACTCGATTTAGAAACGTATCCTCGGTGTCACGTTCAGTGATATCCCATTTATATAAGATTAATATTTTATACATGACATTATGTTATATT